CGACAAAAAAGGAAGTGAATGATAAATAATTCCACTTGAACAAATACACAACTCGCCAGCCAGAGGCTTTGGGTACACATTCAAATACACAACTCGCCAGCCATAGGCTTTGGGTACACATTCGAATACACAACTCGCCAGCCATAGGCTTTGGGTACACATTCAAATACACAACTCGCCAGCCATAGGCTTTGGGTACACATTCAAATACATTACTAGCATCGTGCATAACATGAGATGATTTAAAAAAATCTCCAACTTTTTCGATATTCCGAATGCTTGTGTAGTCAGATTCTAGTTCGCTTTATTGTCATCTGGTTTCCTACTTGTGAGTTAATGAAACGAAAAAGGGAAACTGTAATTAATAAGGTTTCTTATTGCACGTAGCTTGGGTTTTGGGGAGATACTAATACTCGTTGGAAAACAGGGAGACCAGTATCATTTGTGAGAAAGACGACATGATTTTCTTGTTATATGTAACACTGTTCTATTCAAGGCTGATTTAAACACGACATTTCTTCCTTGTTTATTCTGACATTTTGAGCTATATATATACCTGACAGAGGGCGCAGCATAGCTCGTGGCCCACTAGACGTCGTCTCTAAATTAAAGAAGCACAGAAGTCCACAGTCTAATTTACTTCATCGTCACATAAACACAAGAATATACAGCAACTTCATCATTACATAAACACAACAATATACAGCAACTTCATCGTCACATAAACATAAGAATATACAGCAACTTCATCGTCATATAAACATAACAATATACAACAACCTCATCATCACATAAACACAATATACAGCAACTTCATCGTCATATAAACATAACAATATACAACAACCTCATCATCACATAAACACAATATACAGCAACTTCATCGTCACATAAACACAATATACAGCAACCTCATCATCACATAAACACAATATACAGCAACTTCATCGTCACATAAACATAAGAATATACAGCAACTTCATCGTTACATAAACACAATATACAACAAATTCATCGTCACATAAACACAACAATATACAACTTCATCGTCATATAAACATAACAATATACAACAACCTCATCATCACATAAACACAACAATATACAACAACTTCATCGTCACATAAACACAATATACAGCAACTTCATCGTCACATAAACACAACAATATACAACCACTTCATCGTCACATAAACACAATATACAGCAACTTCATCGTCACATAAACACAACAATATACAACCACTTCATCGTCACATAAACATAACAATATACAACAACTTCATCGTCACATAAACACAACAACGTCATCGTCACATAAACAAAACAATATACAACAACTTCATCGTCACATAAACATGCGTAGTTTATCGTTTTCCTTTCTGAAAATGTTATCTTGAATTGGTGGTGAGGTTAGGTGAGCTCAAGCCTCTGTCATAAAAATTGTCCACAACAATATATTTTAATATACTACATGTGTTAATACGCAGTAATGTACTGTTTAGTTTTAGATTATAAAAGTGATTATAAGACAAAATGAATAGGGATAGTAGAGGATATGTTTGCTTCTTATAACTTTTACCTTATGTGTACTAGAAGTAGAAGAATCCGCCAAAAAGTGCTTGAAAAGTGTCCTTTTTTTGTCAACGAACTCCTGGCTTTAGCTATCGTACGTTTATATTAGTGTGATTAAATAACCTACATCTACAAAAATGCCCTCATTTCAGTGTAGGATCTGTTTGCTTCTTATAACTTTTACCTTATGTGTACTAGAAGTAGAAAAATCCGCCAAAAAGTGCTTGAAAAGTGTCCTTTTTTGTCAACGAACTCCTGGCTATCGTACGTTTATATTAGTGTGATTAAATAACCTACATCTACAAACATGCCCTCATTTCAGTGTAGGATCTGTTTGCTTCTTATAACTTTTACCTTATGTGTACTAGAAGTAGAAGAATCCGCCAAAAAGTGCTTAAAAAGTGTCTTTTTTTGTGAACGAACTCCTGGCCTTAGCTATCGTACGTTTATAGTAGTGTGATTAAATAACCTACATCTACAAACATTTCAGTGTAAGATTTGTTCGAAGCACGAATCAGTTAATAAAAATATTTAATAATCACTGGTATTGTTCTATCAATCACACGACTTCCTTTTAACTAGTGTGGTTAGCAGTATAATGTGCTGGAAAGTTTGCAAATCTGGTGGGAATAAAATATGAACAAACAGCCTGAAAACTAAAAGAGAAGGCGATAAAAGTTCGAAAAATTATTTGTATTTTTTGGGCGCCACTTGTACGTTTTAAAAATGTAACAAACATTAAAAAAAGACAAATGCTGGTTTAAAAACAAAAGTCAATTTCACGCGCAACAGACCCGAAAACAATGAAGTGACATTCAGTTGTTATTAATGGCGAAGTGTATATATAATCTGAATCCTTGGGTATGTAGAGGACAGGTTCACGTACCTTATCATTACGGTCAAATCATCATCATTAGTGGCACGGCTACTCGTACAAAGTGTGAAACTATATACGTTACTTACGTTAGAGACACTGGATAATTCCCTTATTGTCTCTACAACAACCTAAGAGTACTTCACTGCTGATTTTCAACCAATGATTTCACACGTTTATCACCCACCTCAACGATAAATTATTAAGACAAGAAAAAACACAGATAAACTCTAACACTTTTTTTTTCTTTTTGCCAACACTCAACGAAATATTAAGATTTCCGAAACATGGTTCTTACACTGAGCATGGAAGAACAACATGGTTTCATCCATATTTTATTATTTAGGGGCTATTACATAGATTTCAAAGTTTTGTTAACATCAAAATCTGACTTCTGAATACATTAAATAGTATATTAAATTTAGATATTCACAAAATTGTACAAATACATGGATAATACAGACACATACCTTTAAGGATGTTGTTTTATATATTCCTTTTTTATCTAGACAGATCGACATTATTTCAATAAAATCAGATTATTTTAGAAATAAAGTTCGAGTTTATATTGAAAATAAATTATAATTATAGTTTCTGACGTTTAACTCACTAACGCAGTTCCTGGCATCCACTTTTCATTTTCCCACCCATGTGAGTTAGGCCTAGTTCCATATAATCAGTTATAATAACATTAACTTTAGATCTGAATTTAGTAGAATGGCTGAATTGCCGAATAAAACCTTTTAGATTACAAAATGTCATAGAACATATCAATTGATTAATCTGTCCCTCACTGTATCACGGTTTGGACACCAACTTTGTGATTTCATTGTTTATTTTCTGGTTGATTAAAATTGTCTACATTACTTTTCGGATTAGGAATTCGTAACAATAACTAAATTATTTTCAGACTAAATTGGAAACTAAGTTTATCAGAATAGCAGCTCAACCGAAGGTTGAATGTTAGGTGATTAACACAATATCATAAAAATGCATTCAAAAAGATTTCACAATACATAGTTTTATTTTGATAAAATCTTAGAATATTTAAATCCAGTGTTACATTTGCAAACATTGATCTAAATAATTTATAAATATACATAAAAGTACACTAGCAGATAAAAAGTTTGCTACATTTAGTCTCAAAATTTACAACATCAAGAAATATTACATATATACCCGATGTTGACAGAAGATCTACAAATATACAGAAAATTACAACACGTCTACATACGTTCTACAACAGGTGGTAACGGCTGAAAGACATCAAAACATTTCTACTTTTAACAGCAAAAACTTAAATAAACGTACCGTTTAAATGTGTTATTCTGTAAAGTGTTTTCGACACTAGAAACAAACCCAAGCTCATTATAACCATTAAGTTCTGATGTTCACATGTTACAATCTATGTATAATGTGACACGTAAAATACTCTGTCTAAACCACGTTTTTATATCATCAATTTCTATTTATTAAAACACCGTTTGTTTTTAACTGGGACACAAAATGATTTCTTTTTTCCTATATGTGTGAGAAGATCACCATATTACAGGCACGTACACTTTGATAACACAGGATAGTTTCATATACCACTAAACGCTGAGTCTCATGGCACAAGAAAGCCGAGGCGAGATGAAAACAAGTGACTAACAATAGCATTGTAACTTTGAAACTACAATATTTATGTAGTAATGTAATATATAATGCTTAATAGCCTTTGTTAAACTAAAAACACTATATTTTAATTTCATTGAACTCACTGATCAAAGTGTACGAACTTAAGTCGGTAACAGAGACATCGACCTCTTTCCGAATATATATATATATACACGCATACATACGTACATACACAAATACATATGGCTGATATATTTGTTTTGAACTGTTCGTTACTTAAGCTTTTTTTATACATACTGTTATCATTTGAACTGCAATCAATAAAGAATTATTTCGCTCTGCCCCCCCCCCCAAGGCAGAAGACACGGGCGTGTTAGAAAACACACTCTAAGATGGTTAAAGCCTGTTTGTAACACGTTAAGGACAAGTACTTGGTTTACACGACGGTATTTTTACAGGGCACGACCCTCACCAGCCGTGAATCATTCGCCGCCACGCTCCTTACTACGATGGACCCCAGCTGTTGTACCCCACAATTGGGACTAAACCATTACAACGTAGGGTAGGGGAAGCTCGTACTCTCGACTAGCGTGTGTGCAGGTAACCAAAGGTGTGCGTTGACGCCCAACAGGAGATGCCGAACGACCATGTATGTGAACACCGGTGATCAATAACCTCGGAGTAGATAGTAGCTGGCCGCACGGACGGGTTAGTTACCTTATCATTTACTAACATACAAAAACTGTGCACACAAAAAATTAAATCCACCACTAGGGTTTAAACTAAATTTTTTGGAGCTGGTGCATATTCTGGCAACTCTTCAGCCAAAAATGTTCACTACCGCAAAGAATAGCATAAACTAATTATGTCGATAAACACCAGGGAAAGGGGGTTCAGAACGTTCAAGGTAGTGTTGGGCATACAAGAATGTGGTGGTAAGTAAAAAAGAAAATAACGTGGGTACCTCAGAAGACAAGAGAAAAATATACAAAAGGGGATGAATAATACAATAAAAATATTTCCCAGTTTGTCCCTGAAGAGGAAAGGTCCACCTTTCGAAAGCGCTCGAGTTATAGGGTTTTTATTAATTCCTATAAAAATATTTAGATCACCTTTTGAGCTGCAGATATAATAATGAGGAGAAGATGGACAGAGTATTATTTCTGTTTTGCTTTTATACTACAATACTGAAGTTTAGGTTAAGTATTCGTAGAACGATTATTCTTGAATAAGACGTAACAGAATGTGTAACTTGCAATTTGTGTGATTATTTTGTATCGTAAAGCTTTTGAAGTATCTGAACGTCTAGGTGTAGGTTCTGAATTCCGATATGAAAGATATGGCATTGAAGGTGGATCAGAGGTCGTACACACCTTGGTTGATACGGTTTTAGATAAGAACACAATGCGCTGAATGTACTTGGATATCCCACCGAAACCTCGGTGAACATTTTGGTAATGTAGTTCTTGATTGATACCAAATGTATTCCGGGGTCGTAGTGATATTTACAAAGTTATGAGAATATAAATATTAAGTTAAATCGAGTTGTAATTCAAGAGAACTGATAAATATCTTGACAAAATATAATTAAAAATTTTACTTCAGAAAAACCTACTTTTAGTTCCTCGTTGTATATAATTACTTTAGGGGATTGACTGCATAATACAATTAAATCCACTGTAAATTACATCAATGATATTTAAAGTTATTATTAGAATGAAAACTGAGGGCGATGTAAAGAAACACTGTAGATATTCTTTAATAATAATAATACTGACCGTTAACTTCACTTCCTTATAACAACCACAAGGTGGCTAATGATGAATAACCTGACACGTTATGATGGTCGTGATGATAATTGATGTGGTCGTGTATGATTCGTATTCGCCTCGGCTAAATAATAATATCGCAGATTGTGATGTCATAAATATCACATTTTTGTATCTATATATCTAGGTGGGGTAACGCAATACACAACAAAAGTAAATACTGAAAACAATACAAAACGTATCAGAGGATTATCACCGTATTCTATAGGTGACTAAAAACTTATCGTCACGTGACATTCGATTCAGTCCTGAGTTGATACACTTCCCCCCTTCCTTCTTCTGTAATATATTTACACTATTTTATGGCAACTACTTTTATCTTAACTATAGCTCACAGGACACTTACATTAATTCTTTACAAAATGTAATCCACAAACATGTTATTATGGCAAACAGAACTAACGGCCGCCCGGGAGCGCTGTTCTCTGGCGTTCCATTGTTCGAGGCACCCACGGTGCCTGGTAGCAAGTACGTTCGATTCTCGCCGTTGGCTGAGGAGGGGTTTAAATAGTGAACGTCTCTTCTAGCCTCACCGGCCGCCTGACTGAAGCTCAAGTCCCCTGTTGTTAGTAGATCGAAAACGCAAGCATCAAAGTAAAAGTCTGTAATGTTCCAGTTTTTACACATGTTGACTGCTTCCTGCACAGGCATTGCTGAACCAACCAGCTTGTTGTAATCTATAAGTTCACGTCGGGGGCAACCTTTTACACAAAGCTGCAAGGTTTCACTTTGCTCACCCAGTCTGGCGATTTCTTGTGGTATTTTTATGGCAAAAGTCAAGTATTTACCAACTTGTCTGATGATTATATGAGTTGAGATGTGGCGGGCGTGTATTTCAACGTGCTGCTCAGGTTCCTTCTCGACAATAAATACAGTGTCATCTTCTCTTCTTCCTCTGGTGCCATCAACAAACGCCTGGGGCAAACTACCGGTCTGGGCTTCGTAGGTTTTCTCGGAGGTGCAAGGCCTGTGATCCCGCACCAAAACAGTTACCTAGAAAACACAAAATATTCTGTTAATATATTACAATATTACAGGTTTGTAATGATCAAAATAAATCAACCTATAGAAATCACTAGTTAGACATAACTTGAAACACTGTGTAAAGTTTTGGCTTCCTTATCTAAGAAAGGGTGACTCCAGGAATAGGAAAATTATCTTAACCACATTTTCTCATGGAAACATAAGGGCTGAAACATACAAGCCCATCCGGGGGAACGATAGGATAAAGGACTCTATTCTATGTGTCGTATTCTGAAGATAACAGGACGAGAGGACACAAGTTTAAAATTTGGAAACACAGAGTAGGCATCAATTAAAACGTTCTTTTTTTTTTCATAATAAGGCGGCTTGTCGAAGAAGTTCCCGTTGCCAGTAATGGCGGTCGGTACTTTATAGTAGCACTTAGAGTGAAATTGATGATTTACAAAATAAAAGGTGGGTTTAAATTTGTAACTTTTTCAAGAGTGAGTGTGAAAGGACAACCTTGAAGGACTAAATGGTCCCTTTTTTGTACGTAGGTTATTTTACGTTCTCGTTTAATTAATAGGGGCCCCCAGTGGCACAGCGGAATGTCTGGGGAATTACAACGCTAGAAATCGGGTTTCGATACCCGTGGTGAGCAGAGCACAGATAGCCCATTGTGTAGCTTTGTGCTTAATTCCAAACAAACAAATTAATAGGGAAGAACAGGCGAGAACACATAAATTTATAAATCTGGTCTAAACAGGATGGATAAGTACGTTGCCCTAACATATTAAACAAATACACTAAAGGATTATGTGTACCACCACAAACATAGCAAGACCTTTTCACGCAAAACAAGTTTAGGGCTACCGAAACCGTTTAAAAAGGGCTTAGCGAGCTTCCTTCCGGCTTACCAAAATAAAATAAAGCGAAACTACGCTGTATTGACTTTAGTCTAGCTCTATATATCAATTTATTACAGGAAGTAATAAACTGGTATATAACACAGTTCCATATGCGACCATTTAGGTGAAAATGTACAGGTTGGATTCACTGTTGATGTCAGTTAATTATGTACTGAAATTAATTTACAAGGTAGATCTGTTTCATGTTTCAAGTAAAATTTAAAGTTTAAAACGTGAATTTTATTTATATTGCACACTGACATACATGATATTCAAACTAAAGAAAGAGATAGTAATATGATAAATGCTACTTTGTGGGAAAAACGACTTCGATAAATAGTTTTTAAACACACTGCACCATGTCGAAACTTTAACGAATAAAACTTATGATCCTCCATGTGCCTCTGGTAAAGTTTTGTTCTTCTAGATTAAATAGTTTTTAAACACACTGCACCATGTCGAAACTTTAACGAATAAAACTTATGATCTTCCATGTGCCTCTGGTAAAGTTTTGTTCTTCTAGATTAAATAGTTTTTAAACACACTGCACCATGTCGAAACTTTAACGAATAAAACTTATGATCCTCCATGTGCCTCTGGTAAAGTTTTGTTCTTCTAGATTAAATAATTATTAAACACACTGCACCATGTCGAAACTTTAACGAATAAAACTTATGATCCTCCATGTGCCTCTGGTAAAGTTTTGTTCTTCTAGATTAAATAGTTTTTAAGATGAAATAATTTTAATTATTGTTCTTTTTTCTAATCATCACCTACTACCTCTAGCACTCGGGTGTAAGCCTAACCCATTTCAATTATTTGTTTCTGTGAAATTTTTGTATAGATATATATCTGAGAGCCCAAGTAAAAAACAAATTGGGTTGTTGAAAACTTGTAAGACTGAATTTTAGCGTCAAATCGTATGTTCGAGTCGATTTTATTGGATAAAATGATTAGTGTTTAGTTGGTATATTTGGAGGGGACACCATCCACTGATGCACCAAAATCACCGACTTTAATGTACATATGGTGGTCAAAAAAGGTGTCAGAGGCAAAATCTTAAAAATTGATACCGTTTATCGTCTATTTAATAATATTGTCAGTACCAATAAATATAGGCTTGTGGAGCATCAAGTCAAAGCTATTAGCTTGAACTAGCCATATAATTTGATTTTGAACACTTGAGGTAGTTGTGGTACATTAAGAAGCCAATAGTGTCACTTTTTCATCTTTTTATAATAACGTTTCTGAATTATTTCCCATTTCGTTCCATCATATTTCAGACAACTCTTAAGCGATTTTCACTAAGCTACTCAAAACATACTGTTGCGTCAGCGAGTCACATGACCACCGTGACGCAACGGTTCTAGAACTATCATGTACTTGGCGATGTTCTAGTTCTTACTAGATATA